TGAGTTACCTGGATCGAGAAACCTGATCACTTGAAATTGTCTCAGGTTTTTATTGGATAAGTGCACTGATTGGGCAATGATCTACCTCGTCTCTTGCAGCTTTGACTTAACGAAACGCTTTCGCTTTTTTCATTGTTTACCGACATTCCATTGTTATTAAAAGAAGGTTTTGATTAGACTATCATCATAACAAGTTGAAGTTATATAAGTGCTGAGAGTACTTTAGCAGGAAGAGATTTTTTTGTGAGTTTAGATCTTATGTTGATTCAGCATATTCAGTTATCAGCGGCATGAAAAGGTGTGTTGGAAATAACAAGAAAAAGTAGGAACTCGAACAAATGGGTAAGAGGATTAGCAGAAGTCTGCAACATCATTTTCTGAGTGAAGTTGAACTGACTATGGGCTGGGCACGTTTAAAGTTGAACCGATCATGGCTGGACCAGAGTGAGATTGGACATGGTTTCAAGAACGAGTAAGCAGCCTCCAGAGGCCTCCGGTTTAATGACAGGAAGAGCTTAAAAAAATTCACTGGATCAAGACAGAACTTTATTAATGTCTAGCAGTAGACTGAATTAGACTGATGATAATGACATACATTTGCCGGATGGAGCAAGGTAAGTTGCAGCGCCAAGGTGGTCGGGTCAAGCAGAATTATCATACGTCTCTTACGTTCAGGTATTACCCTACAAAAGACATGATGCCGTCCTTACTGTTGGCAAGTTAATGACCTTGCTACCCGTTTTTCGGTTGGTTGTATCGAAGCGATGAGGTGAATTTCTTGTTCCGCACTGCACTGTGCCCCTCACCCCCCAAACAAGTGTTTTCCAAAGAAAGATCCCAGGGAATTCAAGCATTGGTATAAATAAAAATTTACGAAATATAGCCAAAAATATTCGAATTGTTTAAAGCGGAATAGCAGTGTGCGACCACCTGAATCTAAAGCATGATTCACAAGGAGCGTCCATTTCAGAGTGATAAATCATCTGTAAAGAAGCTGAATCTGATGTAGCTGTACTTGTGTGCCCCCTCCATTTTCGAATTACGGTTCATTTTATCAAAGCAACGTCAGATGCGGATTGGGCACTTGATTTGTCCGCACTAATGAAAGATTTCAGACGAACTGACATTGCCGTTTCACACCATGTTTTTACATAGCTTCCGTAAACATCGATTTCCGAACTGGACCCGACTTCCCTTTCAGGCAGTGGAGGCAAACGCGTCAGACAGTATCTGAAGCGTTACCGGTGCTGTGCCAGTGTTTGAGCTTCAGCAGAAGATAACTCGAGTCTGAGTCATAATCCTTCGCCGTCCTTTCTTGAAGTATTTGCACATCGTGCCCAAACCACTGCAGCTACGAGTTCACTATGTCAAGAAACAGTGACCACGCTACCAGAATAATTACGACTTCAATCCATGCATAATCAATTGAACGTCATAATATCAAATTTCGCCGAAGTTAGAAGTATAATATACGATTTAGGTGGCAGCAAGTACGTGCCTTTTGAGGACATAGACAAAGCACCGGAGGAACGCGCCCGCGGCATCACGATCAGCATCGCCCACATCGGCTACGAAAGCTCTATGCGTCATTACGCACACACCGACTGCCCTGGCCATCGGGATTTCATCAAGAACATGATCTGTGGTGCGTCTCAGATGGATGCCGCAATTCTTGGTCAGTAAATGATTTTTCTAATGCGTTTTAAGTTTGCATGCTTTTCTGCGGAGTTATGGTATATTTTCAGCTGGTCCGCTTATAAAGCTAGTGATTTGATATTGATTTATTTTGTTGGACGACAGATTTTGCGCTTTTATGGACAGTACGATGTTGTCTCTTGCCTTTTGACAAAAGAAGACATGTACTTTAGTTTCCTTTATTCTTTCGTTTTATTTTTGACACTAAGGATTTATAACATATGAGAATATTTCAGTACTCATAACTACATTGGTTATTCATATTTCTGTCACCATGTGAATATATGTTTGAGTTTTTTCAAGAGAATTTTGTGTCCATTCGGTTCATCTGTTGGCATTGAAACGGTGTAATATTTTCAGAGATACTGACGGATAGTTACTTTGTACGGTTTAACTGTGGCCATAATTTTAGTGATGGATGCCTCGGAGGGCGTGATGCCGCAAACCAGGGAACACCTGATGCTGGCGAAGCAGTTCGGAGTCGATAAAATAGTCGTGTTCGTGAACAAGGCCGAAACGGCGGACGCCGAAATGCTGGACCTGGTTCAGATAGAAATCCGAGAGACGCTTTCGGAGTACGGTTTCGACGGTAACGAAACACCGCTGATCTGCGGTTCCGCTTTGCTGGCACTGCACGACGATCAGTCAGAGTTTGGAGAGCAATCAATTAGGAAGCTGATCGATGCCTTGGACAAGTTGGACGAACCTCAGCGAGCGATCGACGCCCCGTTGCTAATGCCGATTTCGTCCAGTGTGTCCATTACCGGTCGAGGAACGGTGATCATTGGCACCTTGGAGCAGGGAATGCTGAAGAAGGGAGATAAGGTCGAACTGGTTGGTAGCGGTAAAGTGCTGACCACCACCGTCAGTGATATCCATGTGTTTAAAAAGTCAGTGCCAGAGGTGAAGGCCGGCGACCACGTCGGTGTGTTGTGCCGGAAAATACCTGCCGACAACGTTCATCGCGGAATGTGGCTGGTGGCTCCCCACAGCGTGCAGCTGTACAATCACTTTGCCGGCCAGGGCTATTTCTTTACCGAAGCCGAGTGTGGCTGTCGGTTCCCCGCTATTCGGACGGGTTTTACGCAAAAACTTATGTGTACCACGTGGCATCAAACGAGTAGGCTAATTCTGGACAAATCGAAAGACATGGTAATGCAAGGGGACCATTTCGCTCTGTCCGTGGTCATGCAGCGGCCGATGCCGCTCAAGGAAGGTCTTCACTTTACCATTCTAGAAGGTACGTCGACTATGATTAGCGGAAAAGTGACGAAACTGCTGCCAACCATTAAGAACATTTTGTCACTTAAGGATTTGAAGACAGCTGAAGGATAACATAAGTCGATATAACAATATCCATTAAATTATAAGTTTTTTGTTTTTAATTATAAATAATACACGAAATTCTGCTGCGAACACGTTTATCATACACTGAGTCACTGCTATGAGTAAAGAATAAGTCGAGAGAGTATTATATCTTGGCTGCCTGCGCATTAGTAGTTGGCTAGGTTCGCGGCGACATAATCATCATTTCGGCTGGATCAGGGTCAGTTTCGTTGTTAGCTCGCTTTAGGGAGGCAGCTAATCCACTCCTTCGAAGCAAGCAGCGTTTTCGACTGCGATCATAAGTTTTTCTTTCAACTCCCGGTATGTCTTATACGGCGGAAGGTCGAGTCGATTAAAGCTGAAACAACAACTAGCATGACGGTAAAAAAAGTAAAAAACAGGTGAATTAAAATGATGTCATTCGAAACCGGTTGGTGATAACAACAATGACCATAACGCAACGCCGCTCACCATGTGTGAGCCCTGGGTAGCATGTTTGGAGTGGACCACTTTTCTATGGTGAATTTTTGAGGTCCGTTGGAACCATACAATTCTGCGAAGCCGTTCATTGGAACCCTAGACGTGCCGGTGATGAACTGCAGCAGACGAGATCGAAACTCGTTATCGAATGACAGTAGGCACTGAAACAAAACAAACATATAATGCAAGAGTAAGAAAAACAAAACACGACTAAGATCATCCGTATTTATATGCAAATTAAGATTTATTTAACTTATGCTAGAAACCTGATCGATAACAATATCCGTACCTTCCAAAAGTTCTGGATGACAGGATGATTAGGTGTGTATCCACCTTTGTACATCGTGTTGTCTTTCCAGTCTTTGACGTCGATAGTCTGTAAGCCACACATCAGCAGCTGAAAATACGTAAAACGTAATTTGAATAGCCGCCTGTCATGTTGAAAAAAAGATTCGTACTTCGAGTTCATGAGGATCGAAAATCGCTAAAAGGTTCTGAGGAACGAACTCATTGATTCCCGACATCAGCGCTTGCATTTGGTCAGACACTCGGGAGACGAACCGCCATTTAATAACTAACCTATAAAAATAGTCCTAGTCGTAAAGTTATAAAAGCGATCGAACAATCACTACGATTCTACAACCATACGAGTAATCATCACAGTAATGAATTTTCCCTCACCCAAAAATAATTTTGTTTAAATGTAAGAAATCCAAATACAGTAGTATCATTATGTATGAAATAAAACTTCGAATTGGTTTTCAGCGTAAAACAAATCGAGTAAAACAAATCAAGTCCAGTACACGGTAAGGCAAAGACATGTGCGAGCTCCGTTGAAGAAGAATGATGAAAGACTGCTCGAAACTTTGAACATAAGCATTTTATGTGCAAATTAGGTATATCTGATGTCAAAGATATTGTTCTAGGCAATAAAGCTACTAAAGCTGCATCAAGAAACTCTAAGCGGCAAAATTATTACAAAGCCATCACATGTATACGCAGCAGCATAGACCTCTGGGGGCAAAGGACATGCCGTGTAGTAACGCCGCGACAAAAGATATTATGGTAATTAATATCATAAGTTAATATGAGCAGTTCCCACCTGGTGATCTACGTGGCGTTATTAGACTGTCACTTGTTCGTAGAAGTCTTGAGAAGCCTCCATTTAAACAGGTCACATATTTGCGCCGTTCTACCATCAATACTGCTCGCATCCTTATTTGACTGGAGCAATGTTTTGATGTTTTAGAAGCCGTACAAAATACTAGCGACATTTTACATGTATCTAACAAAAGGACTGGTCACTATTCCTCATCGAGAAAATAACAAAGTCATTATGAAGTCTGTTCAAAAATGAACACAAAAAGCTTTAAGATACCATAATATGGAAGAACTGTGATCCTGATGACATGACTATCAACTACTGACGAAAAAGCCATATCGCAAAGCCGAAGAAAAAAGCCAAGTACGACGATGATAAAAGAATGATAATGAAGCCGATAACATGCATAGGCTTTCATCTTCCTTTGCAGTGTAATGATATGGCTAAAAACAGGATGACGATGAAAGACAGCTGAGTTGCCTCAGTGAAACATTCCCCTGAATGGACCGGACCCTCAGTGGAACATCAAGTCTTCCAAAAACAATAATCCAGTTATCGTCTCAAACAATTTAAATACATCTTTCACACTTTCTGCAAACAATTTTGTTGAATACTATATGAAGAGCATTTCGATCGTTTGTTGCTAATCATACTGAAAACAGCATCATTTAAATATACGCAAACGGCTCAATCAGTACCGACCATGTTTCAGACCATGTCTCATGGGCCTTCTTCAAAGTAGAAAGGAATCATTTCAGAAGTTCTGTGGTTTGCTGCTGTTATAACGTTTGGAGCCAGAAGCCCTTTGGCCGAAATGTCTGTACCGGCCAATCGTTCAAATGACCATGTCTGCGTTTGGTTACTATATTAATGTTGTATAATATACATTCCTGTGTGCTACGTTGTAACAAAGTTTAACAAGGCGTGATAGTCCGACTTATCATATATTCACACCACTCGTGTGTCAGTAATCAGCGTTCTATAAGTTAAGTACTGTTCGAACTACCTCGACTAAGTTAAATACTACACAAAACTTGACCGTTCTTCACACGGTATCTGACTGCTTGTGCATACACAACAGAACATCTTATTTCTAACTATCCTTCTCGATATTAGCCCGCAATAATCGGTGTATTATCTCGCATACGTATTTGGTGGAATACGTTTAGTAACTGAAATAACATTCCAAACTTTCTCGCAGTAGCATAAGCATTAACTAACAACATTAACAACAAACACATGCAAAAGAATGACTATTCATCGCACCGCGTTTCTGTCCAATTTACTTTGAATACTCAGCCCTCTACTGTATATGCACTTACTAAATAAGTAGTAACTCATGTATCACTCCGTGTTTACATAGTCTTAACATAATCATAATAATTACATACACAACAGAACGTCGATTTGTCCTTATCATATTATTATCATTTACTGTATTTGTGCAACTGAATTAATACTTTGCGAAGTAGGTACTGTCAGTCTGTCTTAATAATCAATGCCTTACTGCATATATCTAGATAATTTATAAATTGACCACAGGCTATTTAATTATATACACATATACAACAGAATGACAATTTTCAGGACTGCCATTGACAAGTTCAAATTACAGAGAATATTCGTTTTTCTATTGTATGTACACGTAATAGCATAAGCAAGCAATATAGAATATGTTCAACTATATATCATACTATATATTTGCACTAAATATATGCAGATAGATATGTTTATTCATACCACGTTTTGCCTTGGTCAGAAAAACTGGTGACCTATTGCAGACATACGCATAATTATTACGTCATGCAGTATTAAAACTGCAACATACGTAAAACTAAGTTCTAAGTAAACCAGTTTTCGAAAAAGAAGCTTAACGGAAGATGTGAAAAAACCAACTTTATAAGTTCATTTTAGGCTAACGCTTCAGACCATAGCCTCCTTCAAGGCAAAAAAATGAAACAGTTAATTAAGCGGAATTAAAAATGTATAAATCATGTTTATTGAAACGAAAATTCCCTGCTGGCGTCAATACGAATTAACACGCCCAATAACCAAGTGTCACAACACACTGAACAAGCACCAAGAGGTAGGTTTATGAGAGGCGAACCGAAACATGACAATCCAGTGCTTCTCCTAATAGTTGCTTATTTGACGCTGTGCTACGAAATAGTCTATAGAAAATATAAAACGGCTGAAAGACTCACGGTCACTACACTGTCTGTCTTATGACATCAGTAAATTAAGTCCGTTGTCTGCTGCTCATATGAACGTATCCCTAGCTATATTTTTGTGAAGTTCAACATTTAAACGAT